TGGCGTCAGCTTTTGCATTTTGGTTGGTTCTGATGACCTGACATGTGGTGCAGCGGGCTGTGAGGAGCCGTCAGAGACCATCCATGAGGGATGTCATGACAAGGGGTTTTAAAGGAGATTTGCCGGGACAGAGCCGCCACATGCAGTGGGAGACCAGCCCTCAGTTTTAGGGGTTGCGCTGGGGGAGCCTCTGCAGAGAGATGGTAATAGCGGAATGAAAGTCAGACGCCCAGCACGCTGATATGCGTGCTGTAGTCACTCCCTAGGGCCTCGGCAGCGAATGACTACAAACAGAAATGGATTCCCTGACAGTTCTGGAGACCAGATGTCTGAAGTGAGTATCGCTGCGTCGACCTCAGGGTGCTGGCAGAGTTGTTCCTCCTGGAAGCTCCGAGGGGAGCCTGGTCCATGCACGGTGCCCACCTTCTGTGGCTGCTGGCCGGCCTCGGCTGGAGGGTGCATCACTCCAGCCTCTGCCTCCATCTCACACGGCAAGCTCCTCATGCACCTTCACGTGGGCGTCTTTGTTTTCCCCCAATGGATCTTACTGAAGTGTAGTTGATTTAGTGTTGTCTTAATCTCTGCTGTACAGCAAAGTGATTCAGTTCTTTATATATACTTTCTTTTTCATGTATATCTTTTTTCCATTATGCCTTGTCACAGGATATTGAATATAGTTTCCTGTGCTATGCAGTAGGACCTTGTTGCTTATCCATTCTGTACATAATGGTTCACATCTGCTGATCCCAGGCTCCTGTTCCATCCCCCCCACCCCCACCCTTTGGCAACCACAGGTCTGTTCTCAATGTCCGTAGGCCTGTTTCTGTTTGTAGATAAGTTCATTTGTATCGTAGTTTAGATTCCTCATCTAAGTGATATCACCTGACATTTGTCGTTCTCATCTGACTTACTTCACTTAGCATGATCATCTCTAGGTCCGTCCATGGTGCTGCAGATGGCATGATTTCATTCTTTTTTATGGCTGAGTAATATTCCATTGAATGTACACATAGACACGTGGGCTTCTTATAAGGACGTGAGTCATTGGATTTTGGGCCCACCCAAATCCAGTGTGACCTCACCTTAACCAGTTGTATTGGGGTTTCCCAGGTGGCACTAGCGGTAAAGAATCTGCATGTGATGCAGGAGATGTGCAGGAGATGGGGGTTCGATCCCTGGGTCGGGAAGATCCCCTGGAGGAGGAAATGGCAACCCACTCCAGTATCCTTGCCTGAAGAATCCCATGGACAGAGGAGCCTGGCGGGCTACAGTCCATGGGGTCACAAAAGAATCAAACAACTGAGAGATTAAGCAGCAGCAGGGCCTCAAAGATCCTATTTCCTAATAAGGTCACATTCTGAGGTTCTGGGTGAACGTGAATCTCAGGGAAGACACCAACAGCACAGTACATATATTTTAAAAAGACCGACAAAGTGGAGACTGTAGGTGAAGTAGAGAGAGGAGGTGGAGATGAGGCGAGGATGGCATTGCTTCTGGAGAAGGTTCTGTCCTGGCAGAGAGCGGACATCAGCGTGGGAGCAGACTGTGTGTGTGAGGAAAGATTTAGAATCTCTGTTTTGGAGCTGTGGTGTTTTCCTTGAGGAATATTCACTTCAAGCACTGGGCTAGGGCCCCTGGCTGGAGCAGGGGCTCAGAGAATGAGGAGAGAAAGAGCTTGGAGGGGGTGGAGAAGGGTATCCTGCTGTGGCCGGAGGGGCCTGACTGTGGCTTTTTAAACGCTCTTTCACAATTAAAAAAAAAAGAAGAAGGTGGGCCGGCCCTCAGCTTTCAGGACTGAAAAGTTTCTGTGTATTGAAATTTTGGCACTCTAGGCAGTTTTGTCATTGGTAGTATTTTTAAGGGCCTCCTCTGAGGCAGATTTAACTTGGGGATAAACAAAATAAAATCTGCTAGCACCTTAAAATAAACTTTTAATTTTAGAATAGTTTTAGATTTACAGAAAAGTTGCAAACAGAGTACAGAGTTTCTGTATCCCGCACCTCCCCCCCCCCCCCCCCCCCCGCACCCAGTTTCACCTATTGTTAAGATTTTACATTAGAATGTTTGTCACAACTGACGGAACGGTATTGATACATGATTATCAGTCAAGGGGCATACTTTATCCAGATTTCCTTAGTTTATCCCTTGGGTCCTTTTTTGTCTCAGGATCCCATCTGGGATTATATTTAGTCATCGTGCCTTTTTAGGCTCCGTGGACTGGCAGTTTCTCAGGTTTTCCTTGTTCTTGTTTAACCTTGAGCGTTGTGCAGAGTACTGCCCTTCAGTTTGGGTTTGTCTGATGCCTTTTTCCTGATGAGACTCGGGGCGGGCTTAGGGAGAAAGACCGCGGAGGTACAGTGCTGCTCTCGCCCCCGCTCCCAAGGGTGCGTGCTGTCTGCGTGACTTGCCGCTGTTGGTGTCCACCTCAGTCACCTGGCCCAGGTGTGTTTGTCCGGTTTCTCCGCCTCATCGTGCCTCCGCACGGAGTGTTTAGGAGGAAGTCAGTGCACAGCCCACACTTCAGGGGCAGAGAATATGCTCCGCTATCTAAAGGACAAAGTATCCACATAAATTATTTGGAACTTCTCTGCCTGTGGGTGTGCCCTCCTCGTGTGTTTATTCCATCAGGTATTTGTATCAGTATGAACCTGTGGGTATTTGTTTGATAGTTTGGGGTATAATCCAGCACTACCCCATCAGTGTGGGTTTTGTGAGCACTTCCTTCCTTTCTGGTGCCATAAGATGCTCCAGGCTCATATTGGATATTCCCTGTCCCAGCCCTAGTTTTGGGCATTTCCCCAAGGGTCCCTGATTGCTTTTGTTGTAGAGTGGGATTAGAAACCAAGGCTTGGGCCCTGGGTCTCTCAGCAGACAGAGCTAGGAAATAGATGTCTGCGCAGGCTTACCTGTTACTAGGGACCTGTGTGTCTCTGTCTTTGTTAAGCTGGGTTCACACGCTGCTGCCTGCTCCTCTGCTCCATTCCCCCTGGGCCATCTAGCCCTCCCCTCTTACTGGTCTGTCACCTTCCTCTCCAATAGCTGGAAGCTGGTTCCTTGCATCCTCTGGTGCATCTGCCAGTTGTTCACGCATCGTGGCTTCAGAATTGTTAACCCACGGCCCCATGGGAAGCAAGTTTACCGACTATTATTAGAACACAGTAGTTACAGGCAGTTCCTTTTGGAGTCTTCCAGCCTCTACTCGTTCCCAAAATTCCTCTATCGGCCCCTTTCCCCTCCACCCCTTTCTGTGAGGTTGTATTATGTATTTCTAACATGGTTGGTTAGAGTCTTTTGTCTCAATCTGCATTCCATCATGGGGTTCCCCCATCTCCTAATTGACCGTTATTTGCATATATTAGGGTTCACTCTTAATAAAATAAAAGGATCTGTGGGTTTTGACAGCTGTGTAGTGTCATACATCCACCATTAACAGTATCATACAGAATAGCCTTGCGACCCCAAAGAGCCTCTGTGTTTCACCTAGTCATACCATCTCCAGTCTCTGGCAACCTCTGATCTACTTTCTGTCTCTATATAGAGTTTAACTTTTTATAAAGTGGCATTCTAAATGAAATCATACAGTGTATAGCCTGTCAGACTGGCTCCTTGCACTTGGCAATTTGGATTTAAGATTCATCCATGGTTGCATGGATTGGTTCATTCCTGTTATCACTGAATCCTGTTCTGTTGCCTGCATGGGCCACAGTTTGTTTACCCCTCACCCACTGAAGGACTTCTTGGTTGCTTCCAGTTTTGACAGCTTTATGGCATCACCAACTCAAGGTACATGAGTTTGGGCAAATTCCAGGAGATAGTGAAGGACAGGGAAGCCTGGCATACTGCAATCCATGGGATCGCAAAGAGTTAGACACAACTTAGCAACTGAACAGCAACAAATATTAAATGCAAGTTTTGTGTAGGCATAAGTTTTCAAATCAGTTGGGTAAATACTTAGTGTCCAGTACAGTTATTGGGTCCTATGGTAAAATTCGGGGCTTCCCAGGTGTCTCAGTGGCAAAGAATCCACCTGCCAATGCAGGATACGTGGCTTCGATCCCTGGGTCAGGAAGATCCCCTGGAGAAGGTAAACCCACCCCAGTACTCTTGCTTGGGAAGTCTCATGAACAGAGGAGCCTGGTGGGCCACAGCCCATGGGGTAGCAGGAGTCAGACAACGATTTGGCAACTAAGCAACAACCACGATGGTAAAATCGATAAGCCTTAGGTTAGTAAGGAACTGGCAGACTGCCTTCCAAAGTGGCTGCCCCATTTTGCATTCCCACCAGCTCCGAAGAAGAGTTCCTGTTGCTCTGCCTCCTAGCCAGCAGTTCGTATGTAGTCTGTGTGCTGGACTTTGGCCATCCTGATAGGTGGAATAGACATATCTCATTATTGTCTTCATTTGCATTTCCCTAATGACAAAAGATGTTGAGCATCTTTTCATATGCTTATTTGCCATCTGTATATATTCTTTGGTGAGGTGTCTGTTCAGATCTTTTGCCCATTTTTTTAATTGGGCTATTCATTTTCTTTCTGTTGAATTTTAAGAGTTCTTTTCCTATTCTGTATACAAGTCCTTCATCAGATATGTGACTTGCAAATATTTTCCCCCGGTCTAGGAATTGTCTTTTCATCCTCTTAATGATGTCTTTCATAGAGCAAAAGTTTTTATGTTTTTTTTTTTTCATTTTAATGAGGCCTAAGCTATTAATTTTTCTTCTCTCATGGATGTGCTTTTGGTGTTATATCTGAAAACTCATCACCAAACTCAAGGTCACACAGATTTTTCTCCTGTGTTTTCATCTAGAAGTTTTGTAGTTTTACAGGTTACACGTAGGTCCCTTCTGAGTGGTTGGGTTTGCTGTTTCAGAGTTGTCTTTGTACCTGTGTGCACTCTGCTAGCATTTTGAAACAGATGCCCTTTCTCTTTCTACATTATCGTCCTGTAAAGTTCCCTTGAAAAGGGAAAAGTTCTAATTGCCATTTCTGCTTGTCTTCCAGCAAGACCACTGATGCAGACCTTGCCTTTAAGAACCACCGTCAACAACGGCGCTGTGGTACCAAAGAAAGCCAGCGGCTCCCTGCCAGCCCCGCCGGGGGCCAGGAGAGAAGCCGCTGCGCCCGCCACAACCAAAAGGTAGGCAAGAGGCGCCGTCGGTGAAAGCTGCTGCAACCCAGATGCCAAAATAAGTATTAGTGTTCTGTATGACACTTCAGTACGTCTCCTTTGAGTTAAGCTTGTGAAAGCACAATATTTGGTGTGTTGCCAAAACAGAAACCATGTTGATTTGTTATTCTGCTTTTTTTTTTAGATTTAATCACATAATCTGAAATCTCATTCACTAGAGCCACAGTGTACCAGTTGGTGTTTTTACTTAAACGTCACTTTTAATAAAAAAATTTTAAAAAACAAGTGGGAGTATAACCTATACAAAAAATGAATATGCTGCTCACAGGTCCCAAGGGCTTGGACTAGAGCAAAATTCAGATTGCTGTACTGAGCTTAAATTTTTGTTGGTAAAATTTGAATGGCACTTAACAGTGGAGTTTCAGATGATGTTTGTCAGATAGAGCGTGGGTTGCTCTTAACTTTTTTATAATTTCATGATTGTCATATTAAAATTATAGATTTTATATGCCAGCCTACTTTCCCAAATTTTATGCTGTAAAAAATGAAACACCTGATGGTCATATGGCACAGAAAGTCTTAAAGAAATTCTTCTAACCTCATGAGCTTGTTCTAAGAACTTGTAGCGTTCGTTAAAATGCTCCCTGCTTTATGGGTGCTGGGGATTCAGAGTAAGTGTGCCTTGCCATGCGCTGGGATCCCTGTGAGTTGATGAGAGTAGATTTGAGGCTGCATTGTGACTCAGAATGAAAATACAGCAATCCCATCGTATCTTTTAGATACATAATGTTTCTACATAGACTCTTCATTGAGCAGATTTGCATGATGTTTCATCAGATAGAGCTCTGTGTACTTATTGTTTGTGAATTTTGAGAAAATTGATTTTGCAGGGCTTTTTGAACTTTAAAATGAAATTCTTGGCCTCATTTCATACCTTTTTATTACTTAATTGAATCATTTTTTTTATAACCAACATGAAATGACCTCCTGGATTCTAACCGGCACCAGTAGTTATAGACTGTCTTTTATTCATCTAGATGTTATAAGGCTGACAATTCTGGCTTTTTTTAAGTTTCAGGTTGCCATCTGTTACCATTTCTTCCTTTCTTTTTTTTTTTCATTGTGGCAAAAAAAAAAAATCACATCCCATTAAATTTACCACCTTAGCCTTTTTTAGTGTACTGTTCAGTAGTGTCAAGTATATTCTCATTGTTTTGCTGCAGATCTCCAGAACTTTTTCATGTTGCAAAACTGAAACTATACCTCTTAAACAGTAAGTCCTCCCCACAGCCCTTGGTGATCATGCTTTTCCTTTCTGTTTCTATGATTTTTACAACATCAGATGTTCCATGTGAGTGGAATCACACAGTATCCATCCTTTTGTGGCTGACTTATTTCACTTAACATAATATCCTCAAAGTTCATTCACATTGTAGCTTGTGACAGGATTTCCTTGTTTTTTAAGGCTGCATAACATTCTGTTGTGCATATATTTACCACCTTTTCTTCATCCATTCATGTTGATGGACATTTGGGTTGCTTCCACCTCTTGGCTATTGGAATAATACTGCAGTGAATGTAGGTGTACAGATATGTGAGATCCTGCTCTGAACTTTTGGGGGGTATATACCTCAAAGTGGACTGTTAAATCATTTGGTATTAGGTTGGTACAAAAGTAATTGCAGTTTTGCATTGCTGAACTTGGCCATTTAATATTGGAATACATTCTTAAATAAATGTGGTTATGTTATATATCATTTTAATGACCATTTCTTGCTTTATGTTTTTTGATAATGACTTATTACTTGATGTTTATTTTATATTTATTTTAGACTAGGGAAATGATATTAGACAAAAAGTAAATTCAAGCCATTTTCTTATTCACGTTCGAAATGGGTCACAAAGCAGTGGAGACAACTCAAAACATCAACACTGCATTTGGCCCAAGAACTGCTAACAAATGTACAGTGCAGTGGTGGTTCAAGAAGTTTTGCAAAGGAGATGAGAGCCTTGAAGATGAGGGGTGCAGTGACCAGCCATTGGAAGTTGACAGTAACCAATTGAGAGGATCATCTAAGCTGATCCTTTTAAAACTGCATGAGAAGTTGCCCAAGAACTCAATGTCAACTGTTCTCCAGTCATTTGGCATCTGAAGCAAATTGGAAAGGTGAAAAAGCTCAATAGGTCGGTGCCTCATGAGCTGTCCAAAAGTCAAAAAAATCATCATTTTGAAATGTTGTCTTCTCTTCTACACAAGAGCGAACCATTTCTCAGATTGTGACTTGCGATGAAAAGTAGATTTTATACAGCAGGCAGTGACCAGCTCAGTGGTTGAACCGAGAAGAAACCCCCAAACAGTTCCTAAAACCAAACCTGCACCAGAAGAATGTCACAGTCACTGTTTGGTGGTCTGCTGCCCGTCTGATCCACTACAACTTTGTGAATCCTGGTGAAACCATTGCATCTGAGAACTGTGCTCGGCAAATCCATGAGAGGCACCGAAAACTGCAGTGGCTGCAGCCAGCATTGGTCAGCAGAATGGACCCAGTTCTTTTCCACAACAGTGCCCAACCACAGGTTCCACCACCAATGCTTCGAAAGTTGAACAAAATGGTCTACAAAGTTTTGCCTCATCTGCCATATTCACCTGACCTCTCACCAACTGACTACCACTTCTTCAAGCATTTCAACAACTTTTTGCAAGGAAAACACTTCCACAACCAGCAGGAGGCAGAAAATGCTTTCCAAGAGTTCCTCAAATCCCAAAGCATGGGTTTTTACACGGCAGGAATAAACAAACTTATTTCTTATTGGCAAAAATGCGTTGATTGCAATGGTTCCTGTTTTGATTAATAAAGATGTGATTGAGCCTAGTTGTAACGATGTAAAATTCACAGTCTGAAACCGCAATTATGTCTGCACCAACTTAATAATCCAATGTTTAACTTTTTGAGAAACCCTCATAGTGTTTTCCGTAACGATCGCACCATTTTACATTTGAGGAGCTTGGCAGTCTACAATCATTGGGGTCGCAAATGAGCCTGCCACGATTCAGCAACTAAAACAGTGACAACATCTATCTTTATTCCAGTACCATGCTGTCTTGATTACTGTTACTTTGTAGTATGTTTTGAAATCAGGAAATGTGAGTCTTCCAGTTTTATTCTCCTGTTTCAAGATTGTTTTGGCACTTCGGATCCCTTGGGATTTCATATGAATTTTAGCATTTTTTTCTACAAAAGATGCCATTGGTATTTTGATAGGGACTGTATTGAATCTGTAAATCATTTTGGGTAGTATGGACATTTTAACATATTAAATCTTCCAATCCCACGGAGGATGACTTTCCATTTCTTTGTATCTTCTTTGATTTTTTTTCAGCAGTGTTTAATAGTTTTCTGTCTATAAGTCTTTCAACTTCTTGGTTAAGTTTATTCCTAAGTACTTTGTCATTTTTGAAGCTATCATAAATGGGGTTGTTAATTTCCTTTTTAGATTGGTCATTGTTAGTGGATAGAAATGGAACTGATTTTTGTGTTTTGTTTTTTGTATTCAGTAACTTTAGTGAAATTGTTTATTAGTTAACAGTTTTTTGTGGAATCTTTAGGATTTTCTACATATAAAATCATGTCATCTGCAAACAGATAATTTTATTTTCTTTTTTCCAACTTTGGATGCCTTTTACTTCTTTTTCATGTTTAATTGCTCTGGCTTGAACTTCCAGTACTATGTTCAATGGTAGTGGTGAGAGGGAGTATCCTTGCCTTATTCCTGACGTTAGAGGAGAAGCTTTCAGTCTTTCACCTTTGAGTATGATACTCATTGTGGGCTTTTCATTTTTACTTTTTGACTTTTACTATGATGAGGTAGTTTTCTTCTCTTCCTATTTGGTTGAGTGTTTTTATTATGAAGGGTGTTCAATTTTGTCAAGTGCTTTTTCTGCATCCGTTGAGATGATGGTGTGATTTTTGTCTCATTCTCTTACTGTGGTGTATTGTATTAATTTTCTTACATTGAATGGTCCTTGCATTCCAGGTGGAAAACCCACTTGCTCGTGGTGTATAATCCTTTGAATGTGCTGTTAAATTCAGTTTGGTAGTTGTTGCTCACTTGCTCATTCAGGTCCTACTCTTTGTGACCCTGTGAACTGCAGCATACCAGGTTTCCCTGTCCTTCACTGTCTCCTGGAGTTTGCTCAAACTCATGTCTGTTGAACTGGTAATAGCATCCCACCATCTCATTTGCTGCTGCTTTCCTCTCCTTCCTCTTTCAGTCTTTCCCAGCATCAGGGTCTTTTCCAATGCGTCAGCTCTTCACATCATAAGAAAGTATTGGAGCTTCAGCATCAGCCCTTCCAATGAATATTCAGAGTTGATTTCCTTTAGGATTGACTAGTTTGATCTCCTTGCCATCCAAGGGACTCTCAAGAGTCTTCTCTAGCGCACCACAGTTTGAACGCATTGCTTATTCATAATAGTCTCATAATCCTTTTTATTTCTGTGACATCGGTTGTAATATTCTCTTTTGTTTCTCATTTAAGTTATTTCTTCCTCTCTTTTTTCCTAGTTTAATGGAGGAGTTAGCACTTTTATTGGTCTTTTAAAAAAATCAACTCTTGGTTTCTTGATTTTTTTCTATTGTTTTTCTTTTCTCTATTTTGTTTATCTCTGCTATAATCTCTAATTTTACTTTCCCTCTGCTAACTTTTGGTTTTATTTATTGTTTTTTTTCCTACTTCCTTGCGAAGTAGAAATAAAGTTAATTTGTTGATTTGAGATCTTTCTGTGTTTTTGTAGCTGTAAACTTCTCTCTTAGTACTGCTCTCTGCATCCCACAAGTTTTAGAACCTTTTTTGTTTGTTTTCATTTGTCTCTAGATATTTTCTAAATTCTCTTGTGATTTTTTTCTTTAACCCATTGGCTGTTTAAGAGTGAGTTGTTTAATTTCAAGGTTGACTTCTTAAAGTAGCAAATAATTAATGAAAAATGAGATTCTTTGTCTTTATTCTT